AATTAGCGGATTTGCTCTTTAGTGGACTGGTGCCCACCACTGATAAAAGGCTTACAAATGCTCAAACAATATAATGTAAGGTAACATCAAAAAAGAGAAATAGGAAGAAGTCATTTCAGTAATGCAACACTCAACATTCCATCAGTCATTTGCCTTTCATGTCTGAGTTTTATGCTAAAAATTATCTTATGATGAGAAGGGACAGAGTCACACACTGTTGCTATTTTGATCCAACCTTGTAAATTACAGTACGCTCAGTCTTAAGTATAATTTCAAGATCTCGCAAGATGTTATAACACTTGAAGTGTGTCTGACGAGTTATATTGAGTAGAGGYTTTTCAAGGTCGGAGAGAGCGGCCATKTTGTTAGAGTGAGGACAACTCAACAGACAGTACTGTTAGCTTGTGAAGATGAAWGTGRTAACATGTTAAATTTAGCTCAGTACATTATTGAATCTRTTTGCYATTGACWGTAATTAGATTTGATTTGATAGAAATAATTGTCAGGACATATTCTATCAGGCAAAAACATGTTTCCAAGGTACAAACGTGTGCAATGAATGTTTCTAATAGGCTGAAACTAACCAATGAAAAACCAATGCCTAATGCAGGAGCTCTACTAGATGTCCACTGGACTTTCTGCTGCACCATGGYTTTGTTTTCTGAGTTTCAAGTTCCATGTTTCTGTCACCTCTCTTTCGGATTCGCTACATACAGTATCACATACAACAGGTTGCGAACTCGATTGTTCTCGGCCACACATGCTGCAATATCGGGTCAAGACAATCCWACGTGTTGAATATCCCGATTTGAGGTTGGAAAGGTCCCGACGTCCTTCCTGGCTGACTAGATCACTCTTAACTCACCACACAGGGCAGGGATATCTGCTAATATTACTTTTAGAGCCATCATGGTAATCGGAGCATCCTTAAGGTTGTTGGAATCGGGACAAAATTTGGCATAATAATCCTGCCTTGTGAACCCGGAGTAATATTTAGCTGTAAGTTTACACAAAAATCTAGCCATGATAAATTRTTTGCATTGACAGTCTGCCCCTTCCAGTATGGCGTTGCGGTCATACCACAGCAGTCAATCTTTCAATTTGTATGAGTTTCAGTTTCTGTTTTTTGTTTCTGTGGCCTGTCTAATAAAGAGGGACGAATGCCATTTGACACCATGTAATGCAAAGCCTCTGACAACAGACAGATTTGGCAGGGGAGAGGAGGATGTTGCTGACTATAGTGAAAGTACAGAAAACTGGAAAGTAGGAATATTTTCTTATTCTTTGTTTCCTTTTTTCCAYAATTGATGAGGAGAGTTTTTAAAGTGAGTTGAACCTGAACCCACCAGCTAAAAACTGTGGTTGTGCACATGTTACCTTTCACACCAGGCCGACACAGAATCAGTACATTTGTGCTGGGAAAACAGAGACGAGGTGCTTTTTATATGCACGGCACGTCAAAACAAATCGATACTGATGACATTGGAGCCACTGGCTAATTCACACATTTCTTGCAATGGGACTTTAAGGTCATGTTAAGGTTACAGATAGGAGGAGTTTCTTTGTACTTTTGTCTCCGCTATTACACAACCTTTTCAAAATGATCAAAATTTACCACACATAGTTTTTATGAGATGGCAGAAAAAWTTCYTRTATTGAGGACCAGCATTCCYYGAAGGAATGCASACCACCTGCCTCCTTTCATACCARAATTTTAGACCAAGATCATCCTATCGTGGGAAAGGAAAAGTTGTAGCTGTCTTATTCAGAACTTGAAAATACTGTCAGTTGTAGATGTTCATCYAATCAGTACTTTCTAACAGTTTCATTACAATTGGACTAGTTCATACTTAGGAAATGGACTGGCACACAAACACTCAGACCAAAACATTATTCCTCGCTATTTGCCTTTTGGTGGTAGGTTAAAATACGCTACATATTGTTTCATAAAGTACCAAATGAGTAAACATGCCTAGAAAAATAATACTAGCAGTAAGCCACTGTATGTCACTCTATTAAAGAACAACACAAACTTTTTATTATAACTTAACTCAACTTTTCATAATAAAAATTGTATAAATTAAAAAAAAATGTCTCATTTCTTTTCTTAACTTCCTCAGCTCTGTTATTCAGGGAGTCAAGTACCAGTACACAGTCCAGGTGGAAGCAGATGGTCTCCTCAGCTATCCCTCACCACCTCTTATCTACACACATGGGCAGTCCTACTGCGGGGATGGTCTCGTACAGGGGTCTGTGCACCTCGTTTGAATTCACTAAAAAAAGTAGCCAAGAAAAGGACGATGACGACGATGATGATTCTTTCTCTGCAGGACGGAGGAGTGCGACGACGGCAATCTGTTGGACAGCGATGGCTGCTCCAAGAAATGCCGAAGGGAGGCAGGCTTTAGCTGTAACGGTGCGTACCAATCTCTCCACTGCCGAAGATACATACATCACACTGTTTAGTCTCTTTCAAAATAAGTCACAACAGTTTTACAAAGTCCCACTTTAAAACCAACATGTCTGCTTCTGTCCTGCATGTTAGCCATGAGTCACGAATAAACTTTCAGGGTGAAAAAACAGGCGTTAAGCAGCCAGAAACATCTCATTTGTGCATGCAGCARCATTTAGTAAAAACTATCATGCCAATCAAAGGGAATTTACAAGACATAAAAGCTTCTGGCTGGAGTGGATTCCACAGACCATTAATGCAACATCACAGCAACATAAGAGAAAACAGATGAGCTGAGAAGTATAAAAGGAAAAACAAAAATGAATTTGTTAAGTTACCAGACTCTTTTTTTTAAGCATTTGGACATTTAGCTGGCTAAGAAACACCAGGGAAAAAAACAATTTTAATCAGTAAAATACAGAACTCTCTCTTCACGCATATATCTCACTCATGTTTCTTCATTAATTTTAGCCTTAGGCAATCCCTACGTAGTCGTGACTCCTAATAAATTAAGCTTGTAGATTTTTATCACAAACCGTGCTGGGGTTTGGGTTGGACGTTTGCCAGAATGTGTTTTGAAAATTGTTTTTCCAGTTTTTCATAACCTTTATCTTAAGTAAACAAGGCTTTTCCACCATCCACACACACAACAGTTTGCAAGCTCTTTTTACTGGAGATCACAACAACTGGAAATTAAGACTAWAGCATTCCTTGAAGGAATGCATATTGCCCGCCTTTCATGCCAGAGTTTTGGACTAGGATCATTGAATCAAAAATAGATATTGCAATCTGTTAGTGCTTGTTAGTTTTTGCAGTAATCATGTTGAAACAATGCAGTTTGAAAACTTGACCCCTGGTTCATGAGATATTTTGGCTACAGACAGATGATCAAAATCACAACCACTCAGACATGGGCAAAAAATTGATATGCTTTGAATTTGAAACTAAAGTTTGTTAAAATTACMTGTATGGTTAAAAATTAATGAAGAGACGTGTGAGATAGAATAKAATAGAATAAGCTTTATTATCACTGATAAAACAATGTTAAAAACAGTGTTAAACTCATTTCATTGTTTAACACTGYTTTTAACATTGTTTTATGTGTGATATATGTGTAAAGAGAGTTGTGTAGTTTACTGATTAAAATTTGTATTTTTTTATGTGTCTGTGTTGCTGTTAAGGGCTATCAAGTCCTCAGTGCAGGTTGGACTCCACCAGGGCTGTCTCTTGTCTCCAATTCTGTTTCTGGTGTTTATGGACAGGATCTCAAGGTGTAGTCGTGGCGAGGAGGGTGTCTGGTTTAGGAACCACAGGGTCTTGTCTCTGCTTTATGCTGATGATGTGGTTCTGTTGGCACCTTTGGGCCAAGACTTCCAGCATGCRCTGGGGTGTTTTGTGTGTGTGAAGTGGCTGGGATGGGGGTCAGTTCCTCTAAATCTGAGGCCATGGTTCTTGTCCAGAAAAGGGTTGGAATCCATTCTCTGGGGTGAATCTCTGCCTCAAGTGGAGGAGTTTAAGTAACTGAATGTTTTGTTGACAAGTAATGGTAGGATGGAGCAAGAGATGGATCAAAGGATTGGGGCCTCATTCTCAGTAATGAGGGTGTCTCTTCAGTCAGTTGTGGTGAAGAAAGCACTGAGTTGAAGGGCAAAGATCTCGATTTACTGGTCTGTCTTCGTTCCAACTAGGGTTGGGCATAACCGTATCGTGTGCAATTAGTCGTCAGAAAAACATTAATCGATTATTTTCTGGCACTTGACGATTAATACGATTAATACACCAGGCAGAGTCCGCTTGGTGCTCCTCTCCGCTTCAAATATGACGAACATTTWAAAAAAATGTTCTGTAATTTATTTATCTATCAACACAATTTAAAATTAGATGTATAGCCTGAAGTCTGTAATTTTGTTACAATTTGGAACAGATTTTTACGAAGAGCAAATCTTTCCTGCTAAATTGCTCATGTGACTAGGACACAGAGGTGTCCAGGGACTCCAGGGGATTAATCATCAAATTAACCGTTATCGGCTAAATACCACAATTAATCGTGAGTCATTTTTTTGCCAATATTGCCCAACCCTAGTTCCAACCTTCACCTGTGGTCATGAGGCGTGGATCATGACAAAGAACAAGATCCTGGATACAAGTGCCCAAAATGAGCTTCCTTTGTGGGGTGGCTGGGCTCAGCTTTAGAGATAGTGTGAGGAGCTCCATCATCCAGGGTGAGCTTGGAGAAGAGTTGCTGCTTCTCCATATTGAAAGCAGTCAGTTGAGGTGGTTCCAGCTGGGATGCCTCCTGGAYGCCTCCCTTTAGAGGTGTTTCGTGCACATCCCATTGGTAGGAGGATAAGTGAAAGACCCAGGATTCGCTGGAGGAATTATCTTCTCTGGCTTCGGAACACTTTGGGTCCCCGAAGACGAGCTGAAAAGTGTGGCTGGGGAAAGGGATGTCTGGGTTTCTCTCCTGGGCCTGTCTGACCTGACCACAGATAAGAGGCAGGAGATGGAGATGGATGGTTTCTTTCAAAAATAAACTTCCCAAAATTAAGGTTAATCGAAAAACCTTACAAAGCAGTCAGGTTGTGACAGAKTAAGTCATCTGGTTTTGCTTTTAAGTTTGGGCCACAGGTAATAGATTCACATTTGCAATGATGCTCCCTTTTCTTACTATGAAAAAAAAAAAAAACAACCAAAACCAATTTGCGTTTCAATGCTTTCTTTTTAAACCCAGGGTCAGGTGGTCAGAAAGATATAAAAAGTACCAAAAACATGCAGCACAACAAGACAAAAAACAAACAAAGATGCCACAGAAAGTGCCCCCGTCACTTGTGAGACCACCGCTGAACAACAATGTTCTGCGTCTCACCCTGTTTTGAAGCGTGCAAACAAGCCACAACAGAAACAACACAACACGCGAGGGAGTTTACCCAAAATACTTCTTCTTAAACTGAAAACTCTGCCTGTGTTCATTTGTCTATATATGGTAAAAATAAAAAAAAAGACTTTTCCATAACATTCCCTCATGCAGACAAACGCATTAGGCTCACTGGCACTGAGACGTTGATACGTTTTATCTCCTGGCATTCACCGGTCTTTACAGCAGCTGTCTTGTTTATCTCCTGCTCGCTAAAAGGCTTTGTTCTAGATACATTCAGACATTATTATGAACCTAAAAGGTAATAATCTCTGTTGTTGCGGTACGTTTTGCAATACCCTTAAAACTCTGCGTTATGGAATGTTCACTTAAAAGCTTTTCCTTTTGCCAGAAGCTTTATCTCATAAATACTCCAGAATATTGTGAAGAAACTGTGACAGTTCACCAGAGATCAAACAGCATGTTGCTTTCTTTTCGAGCCATGTGTTGTTTCCACTGGCAGCGTGAGGGTAGTTATTCATGTTTGCTGTAAAGGCTTGTGGGGCTACGCGAGCTTGTTACAGGGCTAGAATTTCCATCACCCACTCAATTTATTTGTCAAGAGGGGGGAACTCAGCGGAGGGGATAGCCCCCCCCCGGCCGTCTCTCACCAAGGTTCGCCATGCCGTGACTGAAACTATTACATCTCTTTTTACAATAAAAAAAACAAAACAAAACATCATGACTAGGAAGGAAAACAATTTGGCAATAACAGATTTATACAAATTGCAACTCCTAAAAACAATTATTCAGTTTTGCATCTTAGTCATAGGCAGAGTATTTGTTTGGGTTTTCTAGCCACATTTTCTTGACCCTGTTAAATCTCACTAAGCTGTTCTGTTTTGTTTTTGTTCTCAATTTTACCAGAGTTCTGCCGTAACCACAACAAATGCTTCCATCTATTGCAGACCATATGCCCTTTTTAGGGTTGATGAGTTTTGATGTAGTATACTTCTCAAGTGTCGTTTTTACCTGCCTGTTTCAGCAAATATAAAAAGAGGCGATGCAGTTACATGAGATTGTTAAAGAAAGCAGGTTCTTGTTGTTTCTTTGTTTTCAGCATCACAAAACACAATAAAAATGCAAAACTTAGAGGTGATTATTTTCAGAAGCTTAGGTGGATGTTGAGTGCACCTAATCTTGTGTTTCCATATAGAGTCAGAAAGACAGTATAACATTGAGTTTTCTGAATTAGGCTGCAGGGTAAAGCAGTTAGCCAGCACTTTTGCCTCACAGCAAATGTGATATATGCTGATCATAGAACAGATAAGTGTAATTTATACAATATTAAACCCAGGACCTTTTTGCTATGAGGTGTCAGTGCTAACCACTGAGCCATCGTGCTGAACATTTTGCATATAGAAACAGCCTCACCTAAGTGTTACTGGCGAAGCAGCAGTGGTTGGGGTGGCCAAAGATTTTCTGTGGTGGCCATGGCCACCCCTGGTCACCCCCTGGCTCCGGCTCTGGATGACACATGAAAGTGAGCACATGAAAGTGAGCTATCTAAAAGTAAATTGAGCTACAATTTTCATCTACTGTTTGCAAACAACATTTGAATTATATCCCTTCATTCTCATTTAGTCAGCATTTGTTGAAGAAACAGTAGTTTCCCAATGGTGTGACGTCCATCCATCAATCCATGGCAGGATGGGGCTGGGGTTTGGGCTGACTTGCGATTATATAATATTTAAATATAGTGTTTTTCTTCAACTAACTGAACAACCTGCTTTTTGTCTAAATCAAAATACTTATGCTTTACTTTCTGGGCAGCCATTTAGAGTATCTTTTAACTTAAATTTTTTACATTTCATTCTTAAGAGGTTGACAAATGTAAGCTAAACAACACTATAGTCTGGGTTTTCTCTTTCTACCATACTTGGATTAAGAATGGATCATTATTTTGACAGTTCCTTATAATGTTGCTGTTGTTACTTGTGGACCTACAGATACCCAGGATCCAATGGCAGATTTTTTTTTTTACATCAAAATAGCCCCTCAAGCTTAATATTGGGTTTCTTTTTATTGATATCTCAAAATTACTTTATTTTTGGACAAATAACTCAAGTCAAGGTCCATGTCCTCCTATAATACGTAATCTGTCGACAGCACAGAGACTCAGATTTGATTGAGTTGACAAGGCTGACATTAGTTGCCAAAGAAAATACAGAATAGATTTACGCAGATTTGGTTCACCGACAAATAAATTTGGATGACTTTCTGACAGTGGGGGAAGAGTGTCCACAGTGCCAGATTAAGAAACCAGGTTTTAAATTCTTTCATAAATCCTCATCTTGCTCTGTTTTCCCTGTCTCCTAAGGTGAACCCAGTCAGTGTTACGTTTACGATGGTGACGGTGTGTGTGAGGAGTTCGAGCAGAGCTCCAGTGTACAAGACTGTGGTTACTTCACTCCTTTGGGGTACACAGATCAGTGGGCATTGACTGCCTCTGCGTCTCACCAGGACCCCAACCTCTGTCCTGCCAGTGCTGCCACAGGGGAGCCATCATTTCCCAAGGTATGCCACGTGAAAAAAAAAAATCCTCCACATCCTGTTGAACGCAATATCTAGAATTTGAACTGAAGAGTTAATGTAGATTTTATGACACTGTGCTTCATCTCTTTAAGTGTTTGGGGTTCGGACCTAATGCTAATTAAATTTTATTTCAGTGTAATTCTGCCTTGTTCTAAGGTTGTACTGACCTTTTTTATTCATAAATCTGCTTTGATAATAAACATTTATTGTTTGGTATACATTTCATGCTGTGACCCAATGAGCCAGGTCGTAACGAACTTGGAGCCCGTTCGGGTTGAATACATTTTGCAAGGTCGTATAATTGGTAAATTTTCATCATTTACAGATGTCAGATTTTTTTAAAGAGCCTGATAGAAAAAAAAATGGTGACAAGACTCACAGGATCACCTGCGGCACTTTCGAGGCCTTATGAGAAAAGACTTGAGATATTTGGCAGGTCGTTTAAAGACATAACATCTTAAATACAGTGTAACTCAACTTTTTCTTTAGTATTTATGATTTACTCTGTCCAACAGAGAAAATTCTTTTAACGTTTGATCACTTTAAATTCTGCCAGATTGTTTTATCTGTGAACTTTAAATTAATCTTCTCTTAATATACGGTCACATGCAAATCAGAGGCCAAGTTAAACAAGTTCTTAGAAGAACAGCTTTTTAAGCCGTTTTGTTTTGGGAGGTATGTTGACCTCAGAGTTGGATTTTTGTGCTTCAATGATGCAAGGAAGACAACAAATCAGTAGTCATGASTAAGGTCACCCTGACTTGTCAAAAGCTGTAATACAAGAGAAATTAAGTCCTTCTGGACCCAAATTCATGTATTTTTCTTTTTGTGTGTACTGATTAAAATAACCTTGTGTTTTTACACCATCATCTGAATATGTCATTAAACTCATTTTTATTAAGACCAAGTTTTGAATAATACACTTAAAATACTCAGGTCACAGCTCAATATTTGGCATTAGTAGTAAAATAAAAAAGACTCACTCTAATAAAGAAGGTCGACAAATCGAAACAGAAACTGGGTTTTCTGAAGTGAAGAAAACATCCACGTTCAATTTTACTCTTTTCACACAATCGTCTCAGATTTTACTGTCTGGATTTGTGGTCCGTAATTCAATCTTTGTTTGACTTTTTGTGCAAAAATAATGATACTATAAAAAATAATAGGAAATAATCTTTTTTTGTACGTACTTTGTTCTGTGTTTTGTGTGAAGCTTTGTAGTTTTCAGCACCCAGAGGTGAGTGAGTTATTGCCTACRGAGGCCTGGTTCCCTTGCACAGCCCAGTCGGACACAAACAATGGCCTGGAACATTCATATTGGCTAAAGGTATGTGTGTATGTTTGTTATTATGAGCACATACTAATTGCATTTTCTCCTGTACCGAAGGACTGTGGGTGGCTACTCTGTCTTTAACAGTTTCCAGCTCTTCCTAATAATTTTAAACAAGTTAAAAGGCCTCCCAATTAGACTGCAGCTCAAATGTTTACACACAACACAAATCAAACAAACGTGCTGATATAATTACACATTTTCCAGGTCAGTGGTGATCTGAGAGTTCTAACAATCTGCAGATGATTAACAATCCTGACCAGCCTCCATTCGTTCTGTATTTACATTATTTTTATTTTTTGGGGGAGTATTTAATTATTATTTTTTTACCCAAAATGAGCACTAATCATCAAAACATTTAAACAACAATCACTCCCTGTATATTAATAGGAAAAGATTGAGTGTTTATAATTAGTTCATTCTTCAAAATTAAGTATGTGAAATGTTCACAAGTTGTAAAAACACTRGCATGTGAAGGAATAATCATACTCACAAGTGTAATCTCTGACAGGTCCTTTCAATCCTAATCATGTCATAATTTATGATAATAATGCCCATCTGAAATGTAGAATTACACATAATGATCATAATATTTTCAAAATGACTCAGTGTTCTATTAAGAAGTTTATTTTAGTAAACAAAAGGACATTTAAAAAAATATGAGATGATTCATTACATTGACTATGATCAGTCACCCTCATCAATTTTCAAAAATAAAATAAAATAAAATCTCACAGACATGCTCTTATTTGGACCTGGACCTCCTCTCCAGACTCATAACTGCGCTTATATCTTGTTTTCCTTTTCTAATAATCAGCCCTTCAGGTTCAGACTAAGTCCAGTCCAGCTGCTGATTTGATTGACGACTTTGCAAACTTTTTTATCATCTTTGGAATTGCAGAGCTTGCCTCTTTTCTCTCACACACGCTCATTAATTTTACTTCATTTTTTTTCTCCTGACTTGTGCTTCTTTGTTGAGTGACTCATCTTTTCATCCCCTGCTTCTTTGACGAACACTCTCTTTAACAGACTCATGCCTGGAACCTCTTTGGTCTCTTTGGTCGCCCGTCTTCTCCCTAAGGACTCTTTCAGCGTCTGAGAAAACCTTTTTCATAACACCTGTGTCTGGCAGCTCTTCACTAAATATCGCCATTTCTTTTAGATGCCTTTCTTTATCTCAGAGCCATCTCTCTTTTCTTGAATGGCTCGGTCTAAAAAGGACCCTTCAGCCATCCACTCAGCCATCTCTGTTTCTATAAAAAAAAAAAAAAACAGCTGCATCAGTTTAGTTTTTTGTTTGGAAGTTCCTTTTTCTACAGGACTCAACATTTTGTAAAGTAATGTTTTATGTATGGAAGGCTTTTAAGATGCATGCTTGATAAGTGGATTCTAAAACTTTGTAGTACCATCGTCATCACATTAAACCAAGTCAGAATGAAGTCGCCACATCCTGAAAAATGTTTCACATTATTTCTACTTCATCTKGCTTTTGTTATAATTAATCATTTTTTATAGTTTTCAGCTTTTCGTTAACAATAATTAGACAAATCTTGTGTTGGTTTTTATGTCTAAACCATTTAATTTAATACTTTTTAATTGCTTAAGTTAATAAACACTCAGTATATATATTTTTTTACTTACATTGGAACAGGTGGGATTTGTTAATTCTGGAGTGGCAGCCTCTGTAATGGTTTACTTGGCTTCAGATGGTTTGTGGTCTGGGGAGCAGTATCGCAGGACTGTCACTCTTCTCCTGTCTGATGCTGATGGCAAGAACCACTCATTAGGTACTTGGGTTTGATTTGTATCTATACTTAGCACAAAAAAGTAAGGAAATATGTGTTTGGTTGATTATTTATTTGTAGTAACAATGGCTTTATCTAAATTTAGGGGCTGTGTTGTCCGAAGGCCGAATTTGTTGGCTGCTTACATCACCGCACAGCACCAGAGGCTGTCCAAATTCAAAGACTCCWCTGATGCAGTCCTCAAATGCGCCCTCCTTTGTCCCCTTATTTAAGGGACAGGTCCGATGGATCCTTCCCGGTCCAATCTATCCCAAAATGCATTGCGGGCTGACCAGAGATTTTTTTTCTGCTYGTAATGATGGACGAAGTGAGACGAGAGTACAGTTTAAAATACAAATCTGGCAGTATAAAAAAATGAAAGTTTCAAGCTTGTTGTGTCGTTAATGCTTTTGTCATTTTCATTGACATGATTTTTATTTTTTATTATTCTTGTTGGAAATCAAGCAAGMTGGTTTAGAGAATAAATGTGCACACTCAGTGGGTCTGTTAGTTCTTCAAATATGGCCTTTAAGTTAATTTAGCTGTTTTATGATATTAAAAATACTCATATTGATATTGTGCGAATTTCATTCTAGTTTTGCTTCAGCTTAGCATCGTCACAGTTGGTAGGCGACAGGACATACGCCACGGTAAGGGCGGGTATAARGCAGAAGGCTAAACCGTTCRAATTCACGGCCACTTTTTTCCGGTCTTTGCAGTCTACCAAGGACCTGGCCCACCTTGACTGGGTAGGCCGGGTCCTCCGAAGGACCCAGTCCCTGAATTTGGACACAGCCAGTTCTTCTTGGTAATAAATCTTGTACCGGAACCTAATTGGCAGCACCTCTCAGAAGCCCAAAACAAGTGTCAAAAACAACAGCAAAACAAGCTGTTTGGCAGAGAAGCTTTGGCTAATTTTTTCACGTGCATAATCTACATACTCAGCTCTATTGCTCATCCCACAGATGCATGTTCCTTACAAATGTGACACCATTTAAAAGGGAAATTAACAGGCTTAAAACAAAGTAATAATCTACCAAACACAAATATCCTTACTGTTTAGGATCTCCACAAGTTGATCAACGTTTGTGGGAGCGGACACGTCTGTATATTAATGTTTATTTGAAACCCTTTCATCTCGCCCAGGCACCCACGACCTCTCGTGCCATCGAAACCCCCTGGTGGTAAACGTGACCCACGACCTTTCGCAGCCGTTCTTCCTCACGTCCTCAGTCATCCTTCTCCTCTCCTCCCCCTCTGTGGCAGTGAGAGGGGTGGCTCTGAGGACCTCCTGTCACTTCAGCACCTTCGCCCTGACCGGGTGCGCATCAGAGGGTGGGCTCTCCCACAACTACCTACTTAACACACTCACACACTCACACAGAACTGTTTATAAAGGTATTGTAGACAATATTCTAAATCAATACGCTGAGTACAGATGATTGTTCTTCTTTATTTGAAGTAAACATTCCTAAATCTTTGCCTTTTTGCAAATGGTGGATGTTATTGCATATTCTGCAGGTAAGTATGTGTAATCACGCATCCTAAAACCGTAAAACATTTTAGCTGGTCTAATTTCAGTTGGCAGAGACAGAAGTAGGGATTACATTAGTCGTAGTTTACGTTTCCCTTGGCTCCTCTCATTCTTCTACTTCTCTCCCTCCACACCTGCAACAGCTGTTTATGGCAGCCGTGTCAGCTGGACAGCTGTAATCCTCCGCAGATAAAGCACGCCTCTGTCAGGTAGGCTTTACARAACCAAACACTGGGCTGGTAGAGAGGTGAAAACAAAAACAAAAGAACTATCTATATATCAGTGTGTCTCTGTAGGTGTACAGGAGGGGGGGAGGCGTCGCACTGCTCTGTCCAGTGTCACCGTGGTTTCAGCATCACTATCCTCAGTGGGAGGGGGACACCACCACACCAGGTACTCCCCGTTTAGGTTGCTACAAATGTCTTCATACTGTAAAAATGTGTTACTATTTATTTGGAAGCCATTGTTTTATGCAGTCGTGACTCCATTTAGTTATTTTTGAATATGAATACTTGAGCATGGTATGAAGCCAGAAGTTTTTTTTTATTTGAATTTAAAAACATTTCAAAATAGCACAATACATTGATTTATCTTTCTCACTGTGGCACTTTCCTTTTTGACTTCCAGAGAACAGCAGAGCTGGAGTGTTTACATGGTTCATGGGATCGCGTTGTTAGCTGCGAGCCTGTAGACTGCGGCCTTCCTGACCAGTCTCATGTTTATTACGCCATATTCAGCTGCCCCTGGGGGACCACTTTTGGCAAACAGTGTTCTTTTACCTGTGGACCACCAGCCATACTACAAGGTAACGTAACGATTTCAACTATTGAATTTTAGTCTGTCATTTTTTATGAAAGAACAGTGGATCCAGTGACCAATGTACATGACTTCAGTCCAGACACAGCTGTTGTTTAGTCCTGAATGTTTTTGTCAAATTTACCATTTAGCATTTTACATTCAGCCAAAGCTGTTTTCTTAGTATAACTTAACGTATAACTTAAGTCATATAACCCACACTCTACTAAACATACAAGTTTTGCAATTTAGGTCTGTAAATCATGCTAATATTCCTCCCAAAAACCCAACCAGGAGATCAAATGTGTTAGAAAAGCTAAATTTTGTGTGATAGCAAGACACACACACACACACACACACACGCACGCACGCACGCACGCACGCACGCACGCACGCACGCAC